TTATCATTGCGCTCTTCCTGGGTGAGGCAGATGGGTCGCAGGCCACTGGACAGCCACTCACGGTAGCTAATGGCAGCCCACTGCAGCCTATGCCTTCACCTGCGACTCACAGAAGCCCAGCTCCAGGTCAAGCTGTTGTTCACCATTTTAGCTGTAGAGGGCGCAGCATCACTGACCCTCATGTGGGATTCGAACCCAGGCCCTGCTGCTCAGAGTTGGCATTCCAAGCCAGCTCTTAACCAACACACCATTCGAATGGCCCTACATACATATATATATATATATATATATATATATATATATATATTTTAAATATATATAACATAAAATAAAGTGATATATACAGAGGATGCCAAAAAAAAATGTGTACACATTTTAAGAAAGGAAAAAACTATTAAAATTGTAATACTCAATATATACCGATAACAAAAGATGACTACAAGTCATGTGGGTACATTATTTTGGCACCCAGGTATGTCTTGCCTACAGCTGAGGCTACAGGGACTTCATTTATAGGGAGAGGCCTGTGGCGGCTTCCACCCCTGCCACACAGGACTGGGCTCACCACACACTGGAGGCAGCCTGCCCTGGCAGGGGTCCTCTTGGCCTCTCATTTTCCATTTCCCTCGCTGTGGCTAAGGAGTGGGCTGAGGGGACAAGGGAGGGAGGGCTGCCAACTATGGGCTGGGGATGGGAGAATCTGAGTTTGCTGATTTAAATAATTTCTTTTGAAGAAAGGAAAAAAACAAAAGAAAGAGACAATATACCATGTGAAACATTCAGCACAGTGGCCAGCATGAAAACATTACCATGTTAGATAGTATGGCTACTAGCACAAACCATGGACTTAAATTCTGGTTGTTTCACTTGTCTATTCCATAGGACAGATTTAAACCAAATTTGAGATACTCTTAAGGATTTAAAAATACCCACTAAATTCGATTCAAAATTTGGTCTTCAAACAAAATACTGCTATATGTTTGAAATATGCTGTCTTTTGTGTGACGTTTACAATTTGTATTGTTGCTTTTTTTTTCTTTTTTAAGTTATATGTTCTAAGTACACTTATACTGTTGCTTTGAAACTTATTTTTAATGTACCTTAATTATATTAAATTTTTCAATATGGAACTTAACCTTTGTTAACTGAGTTTTCTACCTGAACTTTGCAAACCCTGAAACTGCTTGGAAAATACTTGGTGTATTTATGTTCATTTTTGGCAAGAAAAAAAACCTGTAGCTTTCATTCTCAAGAGAATCTCTGACCTCCATCCTCCCAAAGCAAACAAACATTGAACTAAAAGAAAACATAACTTTACTAGAAAACTAATTGGATAAAACCTGAAGTAAAAGTGTTGACCCGATTTTTCCCATTATGAAAGCAGACTTTTCCCCAGATTATGTAATACATATTTACCACTTAAAACATTCATTTTACATAAAGCTCATCTACTATGATAAGAATAATATGGATATATATCACAAAAAGAACAATATAATAGCTTTCTGGAATTTATTTTTAGGAAAAACCTTCACCCTACAGATCCAACCTACAGTATGATACACTTAACACTTGACAGTGTCTGGTAGTATAAACTTGTAATTCATCATGGTAAACCAATCTGACATAGTAAGTGCTGCAAGAACTACTGTTAACTGCTGGGACTTGGTAATACATAGTGTATCGATACCCTGGCTACACAGTAAGGTAATTAAGTATTCCCAAAATTACGTATTTTGAAAGGTAAAAATAAAGTGTTTTTAAGGACATACAGATAGCATGAGATTATATTAAAATATTTATTTCAAAATAAACCTTAAAGTTTTAAAAATTCATTTTCTTATAAAATAAAAAGGATATCCAGATTTTCTTTTATTTAAAATAAAAATCAACCACCAGAAAAATATACATAGAGTATACTTTTGGTAACTAGATTATACAAATAATGGAACATTTTAGTGAGTGACATAAATTGATTCAGTTGCAGTGTAGTAGTAGCCTGGGCATTACTGACAGAGCAAATTAGATACACTCTCTCTTCACCCTCAACACACATCTGCTATCCTTTGCCACAGCAGAGATTAAGATTATGGTGTCAGAGCTTCAGAAATTCACCCGATACAGCTGTTATCACATAAATAAACTTATTTATATTTAGGAAATAATAGAAGTGAAAAAAGAAAAGAAATGACACTGAAGCCATAAATGTAAAACACACCCAATATGAAACACGGTCACTATGATCAGTACAGATGTTCAAATTCCAAATGCTTTCCCCACTCTTATTCCTTTGTTTTAAAGTATTATAGAACGAAGCTGTTCTAGTCCTCTGCAGTTTGTTATGGAGTGTAAGATCTAGGAGGGCAGCAGGTCCTGTCTGTTCTCTTCAATCCTGTACATGCAGGGCCCTGCAGGGCCTGGTACAGGGGAGACACTGAGTAATACCTGTGCAAGGAGGGAAAAATAAATACAAGAAAAGCCAGTGATCTGGGGACTGAGATGAGTGGTGGGAGTGGGGAACAGAAAACAGAACAAATGAAAGTGAAATAATGCTTGTAAAAAGTCACAATGTCATATTAGAAGAAATTTAAGTATAATACATCATTTTTAAGACTTATAGCCATATGAAATGGCTTCAGTAAGCCTTAAATACCAAAACAATTCCTAATAAAAGTAGCATTGAAAAATATTGTTAAAATCTCAATAACTTGCTAGTATTTTGTAAAAAAATAAACTTGGAAAAGTTTTATATAATAAATGCATTTGGGTAAAGAGATATATAAATTAAAAAATTCTGCAAGAACATAGGAGAAACTATTAACAGTGGTTTTGTCTGGGAAGGCCTGGAGGGCCTAATGCAGAACGATGGGAATTTTCTTTTTACTTTATATGCTTATGCACTGTTTACTTTTTTACATCGAACATGTATATTTTATAATAAAACTCATTAAATGTCCAATTTGTAAGTATTTTTGAAACTCAGGCAAAAATTTAGAAATTATAATCTCTTAAGAATATATTGATGATTTATAATATTGTTTAAAGTTTATCCTTCTTATTCTCTCTTTACTGAACTATGAAAGTAACCAATGAAACAGACTAGGACATAAGGAAGAGAGATATTCGAGTACATCCATCTGCTCCAAAGCAGGAAAAAATACTCTTAAGAAAGTAAAATTTCCAAAAGCTGAAATCACATTTATTTGCTGGTTTCTGTTAAATATTATCAATGATCTTTATTACCTCTAAACATATGTTCAAATTTAGGGTTTTAATATTTTTAAAAAATGAGAACTATTATGTATTTAGTAGAACCAGGTACACGACAGACTCAAAAACAAATAAAAATTAGTTGTTCATTCTCATATTCTAGGAATCCTATTAAAAAAACAAAAACAAACAAACAAACAAAAACAAAAAAGACCTCACTAGAGACATCGTAAGTACAGGCATATCAGAAGATTTTATTACAGGTGGATTGGCCATAAAATTATAAACTGTCATTTTTTTGTTCTCACTTTTTTTTACTGTTGATACACTTAACTCAAAACACCTTAAAAAGATATGGTTCTCAAATGATGGCATATACATATATGAGAAGGTTAGTAATAACTAACATTCTAAAAAATACATGTTTATGAAAAAGCTTTCAAATGAACACATATGAATATCATTTTTAATAAATTTAAATTCTGTCCATTTTGGAATTAGTAAGAGCATTCTTTGATGGTGGCTCACTGTAAGATATTGCATTGGAAATCTGTAAATTAAGCAACTGTTTCTTATGATAAGCATCATTTTCCCGGTTGGCGTGTTCATCCAGAGATTTCCTTATACAGTTCTTTAATTCATCAATTCCTTCTCCAGTAATTGCAGAGATGGGAATGATATGCTGAAACTCCATAATCCTCTCTGGAATCATTTTTTTCCCAAATAAATGCAGAAAATCTGAAACAAAGAACATAAAACTATGCTGATTTTCATTGTCTTTGAAAGTAAATCAAAGCTATATTAGAGGTTTGATTGTGAACCAAGGAACTGAAACCTTAGTATTTTTAATTCCCTTTTTTTCATCTCTCTCTAATAAGTTCTCAGAACCTTTGGTTTTTACTAGTGACAATGGTCAAGTTCTTGGCATGTGATAGATGCTTAGTAAATATTTGTCAGATAAAGATATTTTAAACCAAATTAATATAAATAAAAGAATCAGATGATTTACTTACAGAAGCAATAAATGTTGCATTTTTGTGGGAGAAGGGTTCGATAAAGTGAGGCAACATAGTCTCTGAAAGAAACTTTCTATAAAAATAACATCATTTGGGATTTCTAGCTTGTCTCAGTACACAGGTGGCCTTTAACTGCCCTAAAGTATAGTCTTAGCACTGATGCTAGGAGCCACACTAAAATTGAAAAAGATGTTGGGTAGAGTTTAAGGGGGGATCATTTCAGATGAGTCTACTCTATCACTCCACAGGGGCAGGTCGCTGTTACACCACTTTTTCCTCTCCCCTGCCACCAAGGCAATGGGAGGAGGGATGGCATACAGATATGAACTGGAAAGGCTGGACCAAAGCAGAGTGGACAAGCCAACCTGGAGCCTGGTTTGAGATTCGTATGTCGTCCCTCCCCTCGCCCCCTCCCCCCTAAAAAGTAGAGAGGCTAACTCAGGAATTATCATTGAGGGGACTATTTTCTGTTTTATGACAGTCCAAAATAGCCACAGATTCTTGAGTTACCCTCCTTTCTAGTACCTCCTTTGAAAATTCCTTTTTCTGCACGACCAACTAGCAAACAGATCTAATGATCTCTTCAGGCAAATGAGATTAAGGAATAAAGTCTATTTACTAACTCCAGGGCATATTTATATCCCAAAAGTAATTTATTAACTCAAGGACAACTCCAGTATGTAAATTACACTGGGGAAAGATTTTTGAGGAAAGAATCTTCTGGTGCTGTCTGCTAGTCCTAATAATTATTTATTTAACCCAATTTTTATCCCAAGGATAAAAACAGAAAAATTACTACTATTTAAAAACATGTTAACTACCTGCCAACCACCCTATTTTCCCTCATATGTGAAGAGGTCCTCTACTAGACTCAGAAAAATGAAAGCATCCTCAGTGCAGGACAGATTGTTCTGAGAAGTTCAATATTCAATATAGTGGCGAGACCCTTTAAGTTCCTTTACACAAAGTGGTACTTTTAGGAACAGATTTCAAACAAAGAAATCCTTTTGGATTAACAGTATCTATTTTTCTGTGTCACACATATGTACAGATACATGTACTCAAGTTCTTCTTAAAGGATTAGTACTCTTCACCTATAAAGTTGGCATTGCAAAGACACATACACATACCTCTTTAGAAATATTAGCTCCATTTTTACATTTACAATGCTAGGGGAATGAAGTTCTAGAACTTGTGAAATATGTGAAAGTGAAAGACTTCACAGGTAAACGCTGACGTTTTCCTCTTCTGACCCAAATCCCATTAACTCTTTAAGGATCCAGCTGAAGTTTTACTTCTTCATGAAGCTTGCCCTTTTCAGCTCAAATTATCATTCTCTTCTTTTGTCTCCTCGCACCATCTATACCACACATTCTGAAACTTGGTAAGTACTACATTACAATGGTATTTAAATATTTCATATGGTACCTGTTCTTTCTTCAAACATACATTTTAAAAGAGCAACAACTATTAAGTTTCCTTTTCTTTCTTTCTTTCAAGATTTTTATTGGGGAATTGGGGGAAGGGGAACAGACAAGTTGCTGTCCTTTTGTTCTTCAGTCTAGTTGTGGAGGACGTTGCTTCACTGGCCCAAGTTGGCACCATCATTGCGCTCTTCCCGGGTGAGGCAGATCAGTCGCCGGCTTCTGGACGGCCGCTCACAGCGGCTGCTGGCCACTCACGCTGGCTGCTGGCTACACATGATAGCCCATGGCAACCCACCTGCCGTCGCCAGCGACTCACAGCAACCCAGCTCCAGGTTGAGCTGTTGTTCAGCATCTTAGCTGTAGAGGGCAGTGTCACTGGCCCTCATATGTGGGATCTGAACCGGGGCCCTCTGGCGTCCCACACCAGCTCTTAACCAACGTGCCACTCGGCCAGACCTTAAGTTTCCTTTTCTTAACTGATTATATCACTTAGCACTCTGCACATTCTAGGTATTTATTAAATTGGCAATAAATGAATGAATGGGTTTACCTTTAGGATTCTGGAGTTGGTTCATCAGTACATGGAATTTATCTTGGGCATCTGGCAAGTCCATTTTATTAACTGCCAGGAGCGCAGGTTTTGTCTGAACTTCTTCATTGTACAATTCCAACTCCTTTAAATCAAAAGAGAAAAACCAAATAATTTTATTAAAATATCTATATAGAATACCTGCTTTGTGTCTTTATCTTGTAGGCCTGGGTAATCTATTGCCCATTCACATCTATGAAATCCCAACAACCACAAAATTAATTAACAAAGGAAACTCAGAAAACACTTAATGTGTTAATATATTTTAGCTCACGTGACATCCTATAGACAGTTATGATTTGTGCCTAGAGCCAAATACAAATATCTGGACTTCTATTAGGCACACAGATAAAATTCAGAAGTAAATAGGAGTAAATATTCATGATCACGGATTAGGAAATAGTTTTTTTAGCTGTGATACCAAAAGCACAAGCAAAAGAAAAATAGACAAATGGGACTTCGTAAAAATTTAAAATTTTGTGCTTCAAAAGATAGCATAAATAAAAGTGAAAAGACAAAAGACAACTGAATGGGAGAAAATATTTGCAAATCATATATCTGGTAAGGGACTTGTAACCAAAATATAACAAACTCTTATTACTCAACAATAAAAAGACAAACAACCCAATTAAAAAATGGTCAAAGACTCTGAATAGGCATTCCTCCAAAGACATACAAAATGGTTATTAAGTACATGAAAAGATACTCAACATCATTAGTCACTAGAGAAATGCAAATCAAAGCCATAATGAAATACCACTTTACTCTTACTAGGATGGCTAAAATAAAAAGATAGACAATAACAAACGTTGACATTAATATGGAAAAATTGGAACCCTCATAGATTGCAGTTAGAATTGTAAAATAGTGAAATGGTGCAGCCACTTTGGAAAACAGTTCGGCAGTTCCTGAATATATTAAACACAGAGTTACCATATTATCTATCAATTCCACTCCTAGGTAGATATACACAAGAAAAATGAAAACAAGTCCATACAAAAACCTGTATACAAATGTTCACAGCAGTATTATTAACCGGCAAAAAGCGGCAAAGGAAATAGGATATACAAAGTCCTGGAGGCAAGACACATCGTTTTGTGTTAGGGAGAAATCACAGGCCTGGATGCAGAATGTAAGGGGGGCCAGGGGAAAATGGGATGGATGGCTAAGTTGGGGCCCACCTTGCCAGATCTCATAAACCATGTTCGGTGTAGATTTTAACAGTAATGGGGCACCATCAAAGTGTTTTAAGCAGGGAACAAACGTCACCGTGGTTCTTTTACAAAGATCGCTCTAGCTGCCATGTAAAAAATGGACTGCAGAGAAGTGAGACTGGAAGCAGGGAGTCCAGAAAAGAGAAACAGAAAACATTCTAATGAGAAGGGTTGATGACTGTAACAGTGTGGATGAAGAAAAGTAGATGGATTTCAGAGATATTTAGTACGTAAAACTGACAGGGTTTGATATAGGTGGTGAGAAAGAATCAAGACCACCACCCAGGTTTCTGGCTTACATGCTCAGTAAAGTTCTGGAGGACGCTGAAAAGTTAAAAAAAAAAAAAAAAGTTCAGTTTTATACACATAAAGTTTGAGAAGTTAATGGGACAGCCAATCAAAGATGTCCAAGAGGCAGCTGGTCTCAAGCACAGTTGAAAGATCTGGGTCTCAGACACAGATGTGGCAGTCATCAGTATATTTACTGTAACTGAATGCTACTTTTATTTACTTTTATTTATTTATTTATTTATTTAAAGATTTTTATTGGGGAATTGGGGGAAGGGCAACAGACAAGTTGCTGTCCTTTTGTTCTTCAGTCTAGTTGTGGAGGACGTTGCTTCACTGGCCCAAGTTGGCACCATCATTGCGCTCTTCCCAGGAGAGGCAGATCAGTCGCCGGCTTCTGGACAGCCGCTCACTGTGGCTGTTGGCCGCTCACGCTAGCTGCTAGCTACTCACGGTAGCCCATGGCAACCTACTGCAGCAGGGGCTGCAGCCTATGCCGTCACCGGCGACTCACAGCAGCCCAGCTCCAGGTTGAGCTGTTGTTCAGCATCTTAGCTGTAGAGGACAGTGTCACTGGCCCTCATATACGGGATCCGAACCGGGGCCCTCTGGCATCCCAAGCCAGCTCTTAACCATCGTGCCACTCGGCCAGTCCACTGAATGTTACTTTTAAAGAATAAACAGAACAGACCATAAAAAGCAGACTGAGAAATACTCTATGAAATAGAAATAAAAGTTCAAGGAAGATAAAGTTTGAGAAGTATGTAATAGAGATTTGGAATTAAGGAGGTTTTTATTGGTTTCAATAGGAGCAGGTTAATATTGAAGAACTTGAGATAGCATGTTTAGATAATTCTTTAACATCGAAACTTCAAAAAGTAGAGGTGAAATATATATTTATTCTAACTATTTTGTGTTATTTCATACAGTCCTATGTGCCTACATATTAGATCAGATGCAAAACACAGTAAAACAGAAATAGAAAACCTACTTTTGTAAGCAGTATTATGGTTTCAAAGGCAGTTCTGTATTGAGTTTGGGAAGAAAGCTGAAATCCAGAAATATCGACCTAAAAAAAAAGAAAAGAGATAGTCTTTAATATAAGAATAGCTATACATTTCTATGTTTTGAAACAGTGTACTCTTTGAAGCTAAAAATAATGTCTCTGTTGGTAATTTAGTAATTCAAAATAAGAGAAATTGAAATGTCAAGATAATTATAATTATTCTGATAAAAATCACAACCATTAATAAAATGAGGAACTAGTATAGGTAAGACAATTTATACTAATATGGACAACCTCATATACTGTTGACCCTTAAACAACATGGAGGCTAGAGGTGCCAACCCCAACCCCACCCTGCACAGTTGAAGATCACATAAAACTTTTGATTTCCCCAAAACTTAACTGCAGTCTCTCAGTATCCACGGGGTATTAGTTCCAGGACCCCCAGAAGGACACCAAAACCTGTGGATGCTCAAGTTCCCTATATAAAATGGTGTAGATCAATGCATACAGTCAGCCCTCTGCACCTGCAGACTCTCAACGCCATGGATGGAAAACAGTACAGGTATTTATTGAAAAATATCTGTATATAAGTGGACCCACACAACTCAAACCCGTGTTGAGAGCCAGCTGTATACCTCAAGCACCATCAGTGAAGTAGGAAAAAGATACTATACAATATAGTACTATGTTGAAAATCTTAAGGAATTAAACCTTGACAAGTATGGCCAAACTTACATCTGACATAGTAAATAATGCCATTTCCATCCACATATAAACAAAGATTCCTTACTGTATTTGACCCCGATCTAAACAGACTTACTGGAGTCACATAAGCTAGTACTTTATCTTTAAATCTTATTATTATAAAAACTTCTAGGAAAACGAAATTCATTGACTTTCACATTTATTTGAATATTACATTTATATGCATATGACTTACAACAAAAAGTAGTTGTTTAGTTCTTTCTATATGCTTCAGGAATTTGTGGCCCATTCCTTTGTTCATATGTGCTCCTTCTATTAAACCAGGAAGATCAGCTACTGATATCTAATACAAAGTTAAATGGTTTAATAAAAAAGAAAAATATATGAAAACCACAAGCACAACTACATCCAAAAATTTTCATGGCATTTCAAACGTAAACAGTTCCTGATTTGTGGTTACCACCACATCTTTATAAAGTCAAAATACCTTTGTAACGAAATTAATGTATTAAGAATCAAAATCCTTTGTTATCAGAAATTAAGAGTCCCATTTTTACTTATGAATCTAACAATATAGAATCTTAGGGATTAGTTTAACAGTTATTAATCACATAAATTCCTTAGAATTCCATAAATTATTAATATATGTTCAATATGAAGTTTCCATAGAATTTCAACTTTCTGAATTCTTAAAAGTGTTCAAGGATTTTAATTCAACTGACACTTAATACAGCTCTGAAGTTTTAAGTTTTAAATTTTCTATGTAGTTAATTATTTAGCACCACTGTTCCTTTTCTGTTCATAGTCTACCAAGAGGAGTATTGACCATTCTTGAAAAGTAAAGGATATAGTGTTCCTATACTCCTTTTGGAGGTGATAAGAGTTATTAACCGTTATTCTACACTTGTGATTTTCAAACCTCATTGTGCATCATAATCACCTATAGAAGTTTTATAAACCACAGATGCCCAGGCCCTGCCCCTACGGGGTTTGGTTTCAGATCTTTGGGGCACATGCTTCATTTATCATTGTTGTTCTTAGGTCACCCAGATAATCCTGAGGTGCAGTAAGGGATGAGAAGCACTGCTCTTGGGAATAAGGACTTGAGAGTTATAAAGGAAGCTGTGGCTGTGACAAAGCAGTGTACACTACAGAGGTCTCATGTCCTGAAATTTTCTTCAGAGCTTCTTCTCTACTGACTTCCCTTAAGCATTACAATGTTCTTTTCCTCTCAATATTGTTTGCTATATTCATATTATTCTGCACTGATAATTTTACTTATTATTTAATATTCTATATAATCATTTAAGTTTTTTTATTTTTTACTGTTAAATCACTATGATAAATGAATATAAATCTTTTATTTATTTTGAATTATGCCAATGAATTATATGAAAATATACTGATACATCATCACCGTAAATCCATACTTTATATTAGGGTCCTCTTTTGGTTCTCATTCTATGGGTTTTGACAAATGTATGACACATGTCCACCATTATAATATCATACAGAATAGCTTCACTGCCCTAAAAATCTGTGCTCTGCCTATTCATCCCTTCCTTCCTCTAATCCTTGGTAAGCACTGATTTTTTGCTATCTCCAGAATGTCATATAGTTGGAATCATATAGTATGTATGAAAAGAAGCCTTTTCAGGTTGGCTTCTTTCACTTAGTTATATGCATTTAAGGCTATTCTGTGTCTTTTCATAGTTGGTAGCTCATTTCTTTTTAGTGCTGAATAATATTCCATTTCCTGGATGTATCATAGTTTATCCATTCACCTACTGAAGGACATATTGGTTACTTCCAAGTTTTGGCAATTATGAACAAATATCTGTGTGCTCATTTTTGTGTGGACGTTAGGTTTTCATCTCATTTGGGAAAATACCAAGGAGCACGACTGCTGATCGTACATTACATATTTTTAAAATTTTGTCACTTTCCTTTTATATTTGTTTTTATTCTGTCTTTATTCAAAAGATCTATAGTTCTTCCTTATCAAGAAAAAATAAATTTTAAGAGCTAGATAAGGCCAGAATCCCATTCAATTAAAAAAAAAATTTAAGAGAAAATTGAAATAAAATGACTTCCATGAACTTGAGAAAAATATTTTTAGGAAACTAAAATCAATCATGAAATATGGAAGTAAAATAGGGACTTGCAATGAGAACAAACAGAGACTAGGGAGACAAAGAAAATACGATGTTGTAATGACAAAGTGGACTTAAACTTTCAAAGAAGAAGAACTTACATTCTTACATAATATTTTATATGACAGTGTTCAGCAGAATCGATTTGATCATAGTTTCACTTATCAAAAAAAATTCTTCTACTCTTTTTCCCCTATCACTACACAACAGTCAAATATTATGAAGTCCAAGTACCAAAAGCAAGTACTTTCACTTCTAACCAATTGTCTTTAAAAACACCCACCTGTTTGAAATCATTATACATAATCTTTCCAAGTTCAGGCTTTAGTGTTGTAACTGAAAGAAAAACAATTAAGTAAATTAAGGTTAGAATAAAGGCTGGTACTCTCAACATTGTTCTAGCATTATGTTTAAATAAACAATCTCTCTTCTGTGGACAATTTAATTCAGATTATGTTCTCATCTGTTGAAATGAAAGGTACAATTATCTTTGTTATTTACAATATACTTGGAAAAGGACAAAAATTGGTCATTGTAATCTGCACAGGTCTAATCTAATAAGTGGGACTACCACACTTTAAGAAGCATGGGAAGGGGGCAGAATTTAGGTTTCTGTCACTGGGTCTGTGGGTGAAATTTGTCTGGTGCTTTCTTAGTCTTAGTCAGTTATCCTCAAGCCTCACCAATCCTGCACTGGCCTCCTTCCTTTGACTTTTTGCTTTTTTTCCTGTTTCCTTCTCAAGAGTCCCCTGTATTATAACAATAGATACTGGCCATGTAATTTATAGTAATTAGTACAAAATTAAATCTATCAGAGTGTAATTTTAGAACGGCTTAATTTTATTTTCCAAGTTAATGTCATTCTGTACCTTTTTGTTTAATGATGGCAGAGATCTTGCAATATTCATTCACTACTCTTAGTCTAGGCTTCCATTAGATCTCATCTTGCCTACTAACTGTTCTTCCCAGGTCTATATATGTGCCACACCCATCCATTTTCTGTATTACATGCAGACATCTTTCTAAAGCAAATCTAATCATTTTATCCCTTGCTTAAAAGGCTATCAACTGCTCTTAAGATATAAAGATCGAACACAGCCCACATGGCCTATTTGATGGTCTCTACCTACCTCTCGCCTCATATTGATTCCCTTTTCCTTACCACATGTTCTTGAGACACACAAATCCACTCCCAGTCACCACAGAGCCTCTGTGTTATGTGCCATTTCCTCTGAAAGACCTTTCACCTCCACTACCTGTCACTCATTAACTCATATTGACTCTTCAAATTTCAGGCCCAGCATCACACTTCTGCAAAAACGTCTAAAGCAGTCACCTACACTCTTTCATAGAGTGGTGTCATATTCCCTTATATTCATTACTGAGACATGTGCCTTCCCCTACTAGTTTGTAAGCTCAATAACAGTTAGAACAGTATCTGTTTCTATTTACCAGTCTTTGTAACTCCAGAACCTACTGTAGTTCCCAGAAAAATATATTTGCTAAATGAGTGAAAGAATTCATCTCTGTCTTCCTATTATCGATCATAGTGCTTGACAAAGGCTAGGTGCTCATAAAATTGTAACTAAACCAAATAAATGATTAAGCAGCAGAAAAATAAATGCAACAAAGTAAGTGTCTAACATGTACTCGAAACTTTGCTGAGGGCCATGGAGGTTTCAAAGATTAATGGGAAATGCATATATTCTTCAAAGCGTTTTCAAATTATGGCTACCCTCAGAGTTGTCCTTTTATTCATACTCAAAGAAAAGTTAGTCTTTAAAAATTCACCACCACACATTAAAATACAAAACTAATTATACTTACATGCATAATCTGCAATTGCAGGTTTTGCATGAGAAATCTGACTTAGCAAAGAGGATTTTCCAGCATTTGGGAATCTGAAATGATAAAATAAATTTATACATTACAATAAATATCAGTACTATTAATACTTGGTTATCTTTAAATTCCTAACATTTCAGGAAGCAGATGTCTTGAATATTTCTGGGATTAAAAGTAGAGTATAACGTTAAAATAATGTTGAAAAACTTGAACAAAATATACTTATGAAAAAGGTAAAGATAAATTTATGTTGGACACTGAAATGTTTCAGTATTGTGAATAAATAATTCAAATTATTTTTTTAAAAAGTTGTAAAGTATAGAGGGCCGGCTGAGTGGCTCAGTTGGTTAAGAGCTCGCTCAAGAGTTTGAGCTCTGAGCAACGGAGGTTTGATTTCGGCCCGAGCTGGCTGCCGCTGAGCTGCCACCAGGTGGCAGGATGGCTCAGCTAAAAAAAGAAAAAAAAAAAGTTGTAAAGTATAGAAAAACAAAAATAAATCAATAAAAATACCTGTAATCTGTTATCTCTAGCCAAAAACTGATAAAATATTACTTTTATTGTTTTATGGATTAAAAAAACATTTTATATGGACATTTTCAAACATATACCAAAGCAGAAAGGAGTAATAAATTCCATTTAGCCATCATTTAGCTTCAACAAATATTATTCTCAAAACTTTTTCAAAAGTTGCTTGGTTTGAATAGGAGTTCCTGGCTTGTTTCCCTTGGAAATACAGTATTTTCTTATATCCTGTTATACCCAGGCTCTTGGAACTTTTTAGAAAGTAAATTGCAATCATTTTTGTATGATTATCACTAGTTGGACTTGCTTATTTCTTTCCAATATCCTTATGTTTTCATAATAGTGATTAAGCATAGAAAAATGCAAGCAACTATTTCCAAAAGGATAAAAGTACGAGGAGAAAAGGGGATGCTCATGGTTGAAGAACAGATACTTGAGATTTTTCTTGAAAAGTACCTAGTGAAAATTTTCGAGGGTGAAATACAACCTATGCAAAGATCAGCTCTGACAACAGTGGTACAAGTGTATTAGTTACTTTCTTCTAAGGTTGAGCTCATTCCTGAAGCCAGCTAAAAGGATATCTGCTTATGCTGGTATTCATATTAGTAACTTCTGAAGAACAGTTGCCTAATTTAAAAACACTAGGACATGTGTTAAACATTGTGCTTAGGAATCAGGATGCTTTAATTATTGACTGTAATTTCAAGCCCACTTCTGAAAAGCTCAGCATTTCACTGTATGTAGTCTCCAATAAACTGGCGGTGCAACGATGATAGTGAGAGCAGCTACCATGCATTCACGGAGCATTCATAAACCCAAGGCATGTGCTGTGCTGCAAATGCAATCTCTCACCAACAACGCTTTAAGGTAAGAACTATCTCCATCCACTATTAAAGATGAAAAAACAAAAACTTAGGGAGACTGTATAACATATCCAAGACCAGCCAGCCAGCCTCCCGAGAATCTCAGATTCTAACCCAAATAGTCTCACTTAAGTCCCCGACCCCTTACTCAGCTTTGCCAGGCTCTTCTTAGTCTGTAAAGGTATCTCTATGGAACATGAAACACATTTTTCTACCAAATGAGAAATTGAATGGCTGGATGTTCAGTCTTATCCATGAAACTCTATTAAACCCATAATGTTTGAAAATCTACAATATTGTAGAACCTATGATTCATAAACCTCTTAACCATGTTTTATTGAAAAAATTAAATGCGAATGGCAAGTCTGACTGCCAGGATCACATCTTCCCTGTTACACACTCTGCAGGAATGGGGCTTCTGTGAACTCTAAGCCACTGCTGGTTAAGACCTAGACAGGCATGGAAAGAAGTGAGGGATTCAGACTGTCGAGTCTGGTAAAGAAGCAGTGAGATGGCTCAAGAGGAAGGTGAAAAGAACTTTAGAAAGAAGATAAGGGGAGGCGAGGTATGGAATGGCAGTTTGGTACTGTTTGACAGCAGTTTTCCCTACCTTTTCCTTAGGCCTCCATCTGACTACTGTGTGATGCCATAGGGGGACAAGGCACAGGAAGAGAGGGAGGGAGAGGAGAAATGCAAAGTGGAAGTTTTCCCTTCCTTTATCTACTCTATCTCACTATCTCCCTCCAGTAACGTGGGTAACAGCACTGCAAACCCTATAGCTAAATAGAATTGTCTGATGAAAGAATGAAGGCTGGTATAAGGTCTGCAGTGCTGATGGACCGGTGCTAAGCAGAGTGTAAAGGGTATGGAAACAGTTATAGCAACGTTCAACTTGGTGTTCAATAGTGTGTAAGTCAGATAGTTAAGATGGTCTGTACTGGCTTTTAGCCATCTGATTAATGATACCTTAGTACCTCTTTAAGACTTGTAAGAATATCTTAATTATTTTTTCCCTTCTTTTATTTCTATACACGTTTTAAAATGTGGTTTGTTTGGATTTCTCATTTTATTCTCTAATATTTGGTAACACTCCTTTACCTTCTTATACTACTACATTTGATTGATTTTTTTTCTTTCTTTATTCATTTTCTAACATTTCACTGGCCTATTATATTGCTATGATTTTTGACAAATGAATAGTAAATATGAAACTCTATGCTGGCATTTTGAAAATAACTACATTTAACAGCATATTCTCAAAGTACACAAACAATGCACAAATTCCACAAACCAGAAATAATGCTAGCCCCAAATTACCATTTATATTTATTTCCTTTTCATGAACTACCGTATTTTGCCATATATAATGCACTTCCGTGTATAATGTGCGCTCATGGTTTTGGCCCAAACTTTCAGGCAAAAAAACTTTCGTTTTCATTTTTTAAGTCAACTTTTTATTTTTTTACATTTAGGTACTTGTTTTTTGTATTACAAAGGAATTTTAGTATATTATGGTACAAGACATTTTATGTAACAAATAATTACAGAACACAAGAACAGACACAAGGTACAAGAAATTTTATGTACCAGTAACAACTTTACAATATTTACACTTCACAGAAGGCCAGGAGCTCTATGTTGTTCCAAGTTCATCCTAAGTACAACAAAACCAATGATCCTATTCCAGGGTATTGTTTTGCATATGGATATCGTTATTGACTTCTAGAGTTACACTTTTAACTCATAAGCATAAATAAAAGAATTAAAACCATTTATATGGTTTTACATAATTAGTAAATTATGATACAGAATTAGTACTACCCAGGTATAATGCACATCCTCATTTTTCCCTCACAAATTTGGGCAAAAAGTATGCATTATACACGACAAATACAGTATCTCTCTGAAAGTATAAAAATAAAGATATAAATGATACTTACCCCACTAGGCCTATATCAGCTATAAGTTTTAGATCAAGGTGAATTACTCGTTTCTGGCCTTTCAATGGTAAGAAATTTGTAAGTAATTTACCACCAAGACCTCCTTCAGCTACCAAAATTCTGTCTTTCTCTTTATGGAGTTCTCCTTAAAAAGAGAGATAAAGATACTTAGAGCCAAGATTAATAAGTGGAACTAATCACTAATGACATTTTTCTTTCAGAAACAGATGCCAGAAGTTTCTATTAAGAGCTTGACACTGGAAAAGCTTTTGTAAGCAGTTGAAAAGAGACTAGTTTTAAATACAAGTAAATTTTAAAAATAATCTTAAATCTAGCAGTTAATTTTGAAGAACCTTTACATAACGTTTTTAAAAGTTCTTTTATAAATTAGCAGCTAAAATAGGAATGTTTAAAAAATTCTGACACTCAGGAGGTACTATTACCCACAGTTCCCAAACAATTTAGAAAATGTGCACATTTTTCACAACCTTAGAATATACAGTACACTTACCTATAATTTTACCATTTTCATCAGTTACTGAAATACCTATAGGTACAGGAATTTCACAGTCTTTTCCTTTGGAGCCTTTCAGTGCACTAACCCTACAAAAAAATAAAGCTAATTTAAAAAAGGAAAACTCGCTAAATTAAAGATTATGTTTCAAGCAAATATAATGGTCTACAAAGAAGACTAGTAACCACCTCATCTAATAAAAAGATGATAAATGGCCAAATATTAGAGGAAAAATAAAACTACCCCTAATTATTTATTTGCATTTTAGACTATTGTATCCCAATAAAAATAACACTAAGTAATGATTTAAGTTACCAAATTAACCACCAAAAGTCATTTCAACTCATAATGAACTAATATATTGTATATCTGAAATGAAAAAATCATTACAACACAAATAAACTAGAAAAAAATGAAAAATCCACTGAATAACAAGCTCTCAAAAAACTGACCTCAATTACAGGAGGCTCATCTGGCTACTCTCAAACTGCTCATGAGAGAATAAATTGGTACAAACTTCTAACTAGTAATTCCACTTCTGGGAATTTATCATAAAACAAAATAACTTAACAACCACATAAACTACTGTATCTATATACACATGGATGTGTGTTGTATTGGAACTACAATAGTAAAAAAATCAATAATTACCTAAATAGATGAATGACAAAATAAATAATGCTATTTCCAATACTATAATATTGTACTATTCAGCCATTCTGAATAATCTTTAGTCATGGAAAAAAAGTTAAGTGAAAAGAGGAGGTTGCAAAATATTGTCCACTCATTTTTATACCCCCAAATTATATACATACACACATAATTACATTTGTGTAAATACACAGAAAAGTCTTAGAAAAGTCAAGAAAAGGTTAATAATGGTTATCTCCAGGCTGAAGCATTATAGGTGGTTGACCTTTTTTTAAATCTTTTTATTCCTGATCTCCCTGATTGCGTCAGAATTCTCATACATGTAGGCTCTCATTAAGACTTGTCACGGTTATTATTTACCATTTTTCATGTATTTGATTAATATCTGCTCTCCTATTAGATTATAGTAAGTTCTAGGAGGGCAGAGAACATATTAGCTTAGATCATCATTTTATCCTAGCTATCTAGTACAGTGATTGGCACACAGTAGTTAATTAACATTAGCTGAATGAATGAATTGGATTGACAGAAATGGATGAATCTGAAATATACTAAAAAAAGATTTAAATAAAGCACTTCTCTTACTGGGATTGTGTGTTGTAATTTTTAGAATGTAGAGGCAAGACCTAATTTCCATTCTTACTTGTTACCACTGATGAACCTTCTATTAAAATATCATTTTATTAAAAACATTTATACTTAAATTTCAAAAGAACTTTGGATACAGTTTTTTAAACAATTGAAATGGTATCTGATTTTTTTCTTAGTTGAGCAATCATAAACCAATTTACTGGGAGATGATTTAATGATGAACAAAAGAAGTCTGATTTTTAGTAGACATTATTACATATCTGAAATTAAAATCTTACTCAGTTATCTACATTTTGGAAGTGGTGCTTGAACTAAATGTTGAAGGGGGCTAGGACTTTGCCAGACAATCAAGGTTGGAAAGGATGTGTTACCAAACTGGATGCACGCGCGCACACACATATTGGATTAGGAGAGAACAAGCTGTTTGGTGAAATAATAGTTATTTCTAGCTGGGACATGTAACACTGGGACAAGTGGGGTGGCATTTTGTGAAATAAAGACCCTGTAGTCCAGATCATGAAGAATTTGTTATGTATGTTAGAAAGTCTGAAGATTATCTTATCTTAGAGCAATGGGGAATATTGAAGGATTTTAAATGGGGAAATGACATCAGTAAGTTGGTGTTTTAGAAAATCAGTCTAGGAATAATTGGATAAAGAATGGATTGGGGGTGATGACTGAGGCTAGAAACAAGGAGACCAAATTGGTGAATACTGCAATATTTCAGCAATGATGGTAGTCTAAATTAAAGTCTGGCATTCCTGTGTTTTCTGCATTCCAGCCCACTGGCCTTTCTTTAGTGTCTTATACTGGTATTTGTCTTCTATCATTGGGCCTTTGTTTATATTATCTTTTCTGTTATGCCGTTTCCTCTCCTTCACCCTGCTGGCTCCTATAATCCTTCAGATTTAAGCCTCTACATTCTAAAGGTTACAACACACAATCTCAGTAAGAAAAATGTTCTATTTAAATCTTTTATATACCATATTTAGTATACCACTAATCTAAACACAGAATAAGGGTGGAATTATAGCAACTTTACTTTTCAAAAGAAATAATAAAATTATAAAAATATTTACTTTAGGATGTAAACTGCCTGTAATAGCAAAATAATACATTCTGAACTCAAAACTTTGATTACTAAATTCTAACAAATATAGGCTCTTAAAATTTGTCCTATAAAATGGTTTCAATTGGACTACTCATAAAACAAAAATGCTCAAAAAGAATGAAAGGGGTTTCTCTAAGGACTCTTTTACCAGCAGGGGATACTGCTGCATATTTTGGCAGGGTAAGTTGTTGTTGGAAGTGTTCCTCACTCTGCATTACGGGGTGTTTACATCCAGCCTCTATCTTTTGCTTATTATACCCATCTCCCAAGTAAGTGCCACTATCCATCCTCTAGTACTGTGGCAAATACATGGACCAAAACACTTCCTTGGGAAGCAGAAAGAAAAAAGCGACAGAAAGTCTAAACTTTATTTTACGTCAATACCTCCTAAGGAATAACAGGATGAGAGAGGCCTGAGGAATCATAGCCTACATTTTGGTGGAAGCTTTAAGAATTTGTTTATTTTCTTTACGGTGAAAGAAAAAATTCTTCTCATATTTTGAGGCCAACACAACTAAAAATAAAGGATAGGTTTTGCTGTCATAGAAAGAAGACCAAAACAGAAGCCAAAGGAAAACATACAAGAGATACATAAGTGAAGCAGGCTCTAAATTTTCAGCACTGCGTATGAAATGCTGGCAGAACCTATGGGGGCGGGACAGTAGATTTGAGATTTGAGAAAGGATTCCTAAAGATTGTCAAAGATAATTTAAGAAGAAAACTGAGAATTCATATCATTTTCTGTTTCTAAAGAGGAAGTGCAAAAGAATATAAACAGACATCAGGAGAAGAAACGGATAAAAAGCTTAAAAGCTCCAAAAAATTCTTAGTACCTATCTTTTTACTAGAGTTGAGCCAAATGTAGATTTTTGCTCAGTTACAAATACAGGATTAATTTATTTCAAATTACTAATTAAATTTTTATCTTTTAATTTTTTTCTTCCAGGAGGGATTAATTTTATAAAATCAAAGTCGTTCAGTTAATTCTTACCGACTGTTTGCTCCTTCTCCAGCCACAAACCGTTTCTTAGGATATTTGTCTTTAAGTTGTTTTAAAGTCATTTTGTTATGGGCTACAACCCAGACGTCGCCACCTTTTCCACCTTCTCCACCTAAACGAGGGTAGCCCATTCCTCCACTTCCTCCCCTGGTGAAGAGTCTTAGGTTATCGATGAAGTTTCCATACTTAAAAAGAGAGAGAGAGAGAGAGAGAGAACGTTTGTATACCAGATGTACTTATCAATTTAGAATTCCTTTCTAGTTCTTTGTTGCCACTAAAATTCTTTTAAAAAATCAATCATGGTTTCCTGTATGCCAAATTTATAGTCTTGTTTTAGTTCATCTGTCTGACCTCCTCTTCCCATCCAACTCTCTCAAGTATCAACTGTTGTCCCACCTATCCTCAAGGTCTCTGACATTGGCCCACATTTCAATCTAGACTTCCCTGGGTAATCTCAGCCTGTACCAGTAACTATTACCTAGATGAGATATTCTGTATGTCCAGTCTGTCGGACATCTCCACCAGGATGTAAACTTAATAGTTTAAAGTAACTGCGAACAAAATCTGTATTTAACGTGTATTTGAAACCCCTCAAACGTGTAACTTGTTCATAGGTACTAAAAGGATAATAGTCACTTCAAATGCATATTAATATGACAAAACCAAACATTTCCCTAGGTAAATTCTGTTCCTCCAATGTTCTCTCAAATAATGGAACCAGTTTAATACTCATTGAGACTACACATAGGAATCTCTGACTATACCTGCTTCTTTTCCCAAAGACCTCTCTTTCCTTTCTGGTAAAAACTGCGCTGGTATCTTGACCATTCATTAGCTCCTAACTGGTTTTTTTCCAGTGTTAATAGTCATTTCTTCCTCAATACATCCTTCATCTTGCTGCCTGAGCTATTTTAATAAAAATGAATCTGATCTCTAATCATGTTTCTCCCTTACTTGAATTGGTTTTCTGTGTTTGCTGTTTAATAAAGTCTAAAATTCTCAGTACTATATTCGAAGCTCTTAACCTACCTTCCCAGTTTTGTTTCCATTCATTCTACCCTTCCAATCTCCTTTTCCTCTTTTGCTCTGTACTACATGCTATACTTTCATGTCTCCATGCCACTCTGCTCATGCTTTTCTCCTACTTATGTCATTTGTTCTTTTCTATACTAAACCCACCTGAACGTCACATTTGCTGATGTCTTTCTTAATACCTTTAATCAACATGTACCACCCACTTTGCTGGGTCCGCAGCAATTTGATTGTATTTCTATTATTACGCTTTTTGAAATCTTACACTGTACTTAAGAGTTTACATCTGTTTCACTCACTAAATCAAGAGCTTCTTGCAGGTAAAGATCCTAAGGATTACCCTCTCAGGCTATCAAGATTCCTTACAGAGTAATTTATTAAATTTGTAATCTTCACATCTTTAGTCATTTAGGATAGTTGTAAGTATCAAAAACATCTGGAAACTTTTTGCAAAATACGAATACTCCATTGACCATTCTGATATACCTTGGAGGAGGGGATAAGGATAGGTCAAGCCAGCACATTTAGCTCCCTTGGTGCTTCTGATGTAGTCTAGATTGGAGATTGCAATGGATGGGTTCACAGTAAAGATTCAAAGCACAGATATTCATTCAAGTATGCGAATGTATTCATGAAACAGTGTTGTAAGGGAATTTGGTGGGAGGAATATATAAAAGATGAACTTGAGGGCTAGCTGGAGTGCTTTTCTCTGGGGGTAAAGAACTTATGCTTTGGTTCTGCAAAGCTAGATCAGAAATGCATCACCTGTTAGAATGGCTATTATCAAGAAGACAAGTAATAACAAGTGTTGGAGAGCTTGTGGAGAAAAAGGAACCCTCATACACTGCTTGTGTGAATGTAAACTGGTACAGCCACTATGGAAAACAGTACGGAGGTGCCTCAAAAATTAAGAATAGAGTTATCATATGACTCATATGATCCTTCTTCTGGGTATCTACACGAAATTTTTGAAAACATTTGTTCGTAAAGATATATGTTCCCCTATGTTCATTGCATCATTCACAGTGGCCAAGACATGAAACAATCAAAATGTCCTTCGATAGATGATTGGATATGAAGGTGTGGAATACTACACAGCTGTAAGAAAAAATGAAATGCTGCCATTTGCGACAACATGGATGGTCTTGAGAATATCATGCTAAGCAAAATAAGTTAGGCAGAAAAAGCAAAGAACCATTATGATTTCATTCACATGTAGGATATAAAACTGAAATCAACAAACAAAAAGTCATAGACAACAGTTTGGTGGTTATCAGAGGGAAAGGGAGGTAGTGGGAGGTAGAAAAGGGTAAAGGGGTCAAACACATGGTAACAGAAGATTTGAGGTTGGGTGGTAAACACACAATGTAATACACAGATGATGTATTACAGAAATGTACACTTGAAACTTATATAACTTCATTAACCAATGTTACCCCAATGAATTTAATATTTTTTAAAAAATGGAAAGGCCTTGAAAATAACAAATGATTAATAAATACTTGATGATTTGCTATTTTCACTATAAAGATGCATCACATGTAAGTGAAGAGATAGATTCTACTTGCAAATGACATTGAGTGGAAGTAAGTTTTCGTGGCAGTAAGATTACAAAAGTAGCCTTTAATGATTTCCACACACACACACACACACACACACACACACACACACACACGCAGTAGTTTCTTTTTTAGTTGAAGGATTAGTTACCTCATATACTTAAGTATATACTACCCTTCACAAATCTCTTTTCTTCACTTTCTGGAAAACAGAGGGTTGGATAAAGTATACTTTCACTCAGATATTACTAACCGTGCCTTTCCTCCAATAAAAAGAAAACTCCTGTTCTTAAAGTTCTGTTCAATGTGTGACATATTTCTACTGCTCTAGATTTATCAGATTCAGAGTCAGAAACCACACTTAAAAGGAATATCTCAATCTCGTCGTTAGTAACAAAGTAACAGCCAAACTATGATGCCGCCAGTTTTCAAAAAACATCATTAGCAAGGCTCTTAAAGAGGATTTTAATTTGAAGCAACCTTAAATTTTTTACAGAAACGATTCTAAAACCAACACTGCACAAAAACTGACCTAAATTTCTTACAATAAAGCAAGGCTGTTACATATTTTCGTTTACCGATGGAAAGTCGTCTTCAGAAAGCTCTTAAAAACAATGCACTCAAGAGGAAAACACTCTATGGATATTACTCAAAAGAAGGGAAATACACTATTTGAGCCAAAAGAAAGCTAAAACCTACACCCCCACGTACACCGTATTGCGAGTCTAAGCGGAAGGCAGGTGCCCCGGCTCTTCTTCCCACGTGCACACAATTCCCCAAGAAAAATCTCAAACCCCGTCCCCAAACGACCGTCCTAACCAAGCCAAGTAGACACACCCTCGCACCCCGCACAAGCCAACCCCGACTCCTGGAGGGGTGGAGAGAAAAATCATGGTAGAATAAAAGCAGGAAAGAGGAAGCCAAAAAGAAAAAGCGGAGAGGAAGGGAAAGAGCACCACAGCCCTCGGGTGGGGCTAGAGGCACCTGGCCCTTAGGCATCAGCCGGAAGGGCACCAGTCACAGACCTTTCTGAAAAACACGCAACTGCAGCGCACCATGCCTGCGATCCGCCAGGACGCACGCCTGCGGAAGGTATACAAACTGAAGTACCGCGCGGCTTTTTTACGTCACCGCGGGCCGCCGACGTTAAGTGTCCTCCTCACGTTCCCTCGGGAATAGCCGCATGCGCCGTAAGGTGCTCTCGCATAGGGACCGGCGCATGCGCCCTGCAGTGCGCCCTACAGGATGGTGAATGTAGTCTTTGTTTAGGGGAAAGCAGCATAAAACTGAGGAAAGGTCGAGAGGCACTGTGGCAAGGAACAGTTAGATGCTGAGTGTGTGCCGCAGGAATTAGCATTATGAATGGGAACATTTTGAACTGAGCTACCATGGAGGAATTTTTATGCTAATTGAGGAAACCGTAAGGTGCCTGAGTCTCGACTCCGTGTAAAACAGTGAAAAAAGAAACAACTCCAACAAACAAAAGCGAATGCGTGAAAGACCCGCAGGTTCAGCAGGAAAAGAAGAGTTTGAGAAAGCTGTTCGTTTATTGACGAGCTGAGGGATCTCTAGGAAAAACTTCCAGGAGACAGTGAATGTAAAACTTGTGACAAATGTCAGGATCTAAGATCTGTAAGACTGCATTGTATTCGGTGGGGGAAGGAAACTTGCAACTGTCAGAGAGTAGTTTCTTGGAATTGGGTAGATAAGGGGCTTGATCCAACTTTCCTCAACCCGGGCAGGATCCGCCCCACCCACCTCCTGTCCCCAAGCCTTCCTGAAAAGTGCACAGCCATGTTAGGTGGCCCTGCACTGCACAGCCAGTCTTACGGTCTTTCGTAATCTCCAAGACTTTGTTAATATCTAGAATCCTTTTCACATTTTTTTATTGTGAAATAAACATTTTAAAAAATTAGTTTCAGCTGTACAACACAGTGCAATAGTTATACTTTTTACCCTTCAAAGTGACAACCCTCCTCCCCCAATCCAATGCCCTATTCCCCCCCCCCTCTCCTTATTATACATACATATCTATTACAATTCCCTTGACTCCCGTACCTGTTCACATTTCTATCCCTTGCTTACGACAGTGATTATTTGGAAGTGCATGATGTGAAAACTATTGCTCTCTGTCTTGATTCCTTTGCTGCTACAGAACCTCCCTGTTCCTCACCAGTCAAAGCTGTAATTGTCATTTAACCTGTAATGATTAATTAATCAGGACATAAGGTTGTTACTATGTAGATGTTTAGTTTAATATTGATAATATTTGCTGCCATTTGGATGATTATCTTTACTAGGTCTTTGTATTATGTCAGAATTGTGTTAAGCCCAATCTGTTTATTTTCTCAGGTTTATTTCTTATTAGCGAATACAAGCCCAAATTGTTTTCTTTCCCATAATATATACATGGGGAAATGATAACAATAAATAAAACATAAATGAAAAGTTGATATAAAAACCTCTCAGAACACAGAGGAATAGTATGTACTATAAACAAAGGAAAAAGCATAATAGTTCTCTTGAATAAAACATGGTCAGAGCCTGAAGTGTTGATTTCAGCTCTGGTTACCAGGTAGCAAAAGAAACGTGAAACTGGAAATTGACCCCTTCAAAATGCGTGGCTAAAATGAACATGAGGTGAAATAACCCAAGGTATTGTCCACACCGATGGAGAAGTCATTATTGGAAGAAAATACTACTACTTCTGCCACTGAGAGAACAGAATGCCTTCCCCATGGTTGCTCAGAAAATTAAAGTATAGGCAAACCATTAAACTTGGTGGCACTAAAGAATTTTGCATAGAAATGGTAGTCCCAAATGAGCCAGCCATTGGCGTAACCCAGAGTTTGATTTTTAAAAAATGCTTAGTATAAATTAGTTATTCTAATTAAAACATTTTTAAGCAAGCATTTCATTTTAGAATAAATTTAAATTTACAGGCCTAAACCCAATGGGAAGGAAGGTGGCTAAATGTGTAAATAAATAAGCCTGTATAAATGAGTGTTAAAGTTTCTTTTTATGGGATAATAACTGTACTCAAATTCTCAGGACGTTTCCTATACAACAAATAAGTAAATCACTACATTTAGAACCAATAACATGTTTCTACTGTTTTATATTACTCATCCCACTTCTCTTTATACAGTTATTAATACTAAATAATTTACCTCAGCATTTTCTATGAGATTACTAACTTTCTGGTACTCTTTAGCATCTCTAATCTTTGTTATGAATAGTATAGATTATCATTACAGTGGATTTACTAGTACTTATTAACAAAATGCTTTCTGTCTGCATTTCCTCTTCCAAAACCACCCAAAAACACAACATTGAAATAATAGTTTGTTTTCAGTGTTTGTAACCTCCCTTTTCTGCATCCCCCTCTTCCTTGTAATTACTTCTTGCTACAGGTACTAAGTACCTGTCTGCCTTCCTCTCACAGTGCCCATCAAAACTGGATCTCATGCATCAATTTGATATCTGCATTTTACAAGCTGACATGATTTTAAGTCAGTGTGTTAATTCTCTCAGAGCATTTACTTTTAGTTTTTATCTCTAATTGTGGAATGAATAAAAGGAGCTAGCTTCTAGTAAAAGAATATCAAGCTTTAGGGTGGGAGATCCTTCAGTGTGGGAACTATGTGGAAACAGAGGCAGCTTCTTGGTATCTTTAATATAACAGGACGTCACAGCTTACATTTCTTCTATAAGATTCATTCTAACCTTAATTATTTCATTGATTATATAACCTAATCGTCATCAGGTTTCACAAGCTTTCATATACAAAGAAAAGACCATAACCCAAAGCTATTGTTCACTATAATCCCTTAACCATAATCATCTCCAGAGGTGTTTTTTTCCCCTTGACAGATTTGATCATATCACTGTATTCAAGATCTCCTTATGGTCTCAGTATGACTGGTGTAGTTCCAGCCATCATATACATGGTCCAGTTGGGAACATGTATGAAGTTGCTTTCTTGGAAGTTCTATTCTTATATCTTCTTGCCACCTCAATCTTGACAAGATAACTTTTTTTTTTATTGCTGGATATATTTCCATCTCCAACTATTTAGCTGTCTACATCTTATCCTTTTTTATATTTTCTAATAGGCTCCATCTGGCTCAGGCTTTAGACTCAGTATATATTCTCTGAATATTTGTTAATTAATTTATTCTTAAGAAAGACAATAGCTAGATAACTAACTCTTAATGACATATGAATCACCTGAAGTGGGGCATAGAGTTATTCTCACTCATTAGCCTTATAGTCCCCAAAAGTAACATAAAATATTCTTTTAGTTTTATGCTATTCAAAATATTGTTACTCAGAGAATCATTATAAATTGGGGTCTTACACTCTACAATTAAATCAAGTTCTAGATAAAGGTAAGTGGATTGAACAAATGAGAGCTACATACCAGCTAAGCTCTTCATCTCTTTACATTAAAATGTAGCATTTTCAAAGTGAGGGCCTCAGGCCATGTAATTGTTGTCCTGAAACAAAACCTATGTGAAGAAAAAAAAAGTGGATTTATCTTATTGCTTTTCTTGCTAAAGATTTATGGTTTGTTCATTCATTCATATAACAATTACTGGGTTCCTAATTTGTCTCATGCACTTGGCTATGTGCTAGAACAGTGCCAACATTTTTAGAATTACTAAGCAAGACTAATTAAGCAGAATAGCTGTGTTATTGAAGGAAAGAAGCAAATTTTAATATTTCTCCCATCCAGGTACTAACCAGACCCAACCCTGCTTAGCTTCTGAGATTAGACACATGCAGGGTGATATGACCATAGAGGAACTTAATATTTCTGATACCTGAATTCATAGTGAGTGGAGAAAACTTATTCCTATAAAACATGATTTTGCTTTGCTCTTAATGCATCCTGTTTTCAATTGAAAGGATATCATGAAAGGTTACTTTCTTAGAAATATTTATAGAAATCCTAAGAATTAGTTGAATCATCTTTTTAAGACCCCCATTGTCAATAACTTGTAGTAGAGGAATAAAATTATTTTAAGGGGCTATTGCTATACTATGAGTCATTGATTGCTCTCTTTTTTATTCTTCTTTTAATCATCTGCAAGTTTAAGAATGGCAGTGGTGTTATTAGAAAGGCCTTTGATAAGGATGCTTCCTGCTTGTGCAAAACAAGAGTGCTTATACAGCAAGAAAGCAGGTAACATATTCAGGATTCTCGTTTACCTAACTCATTTCCTTTGTTGCTTGTTACTGATACTTCATAAAGCAATAACCATTTCCAGTAAAATAGAATTCTTAGATAATTTCAATAATAATTGAAAATAAGAAATGAATGTTTATATTAGCATATTCATGTATTGCTTAGTCTTTATTACTACCACATCATAAGTTAATCAGCTAGAATATTCTTCTCTAGAAAGAGGTATGAGAAGACCACAGTCATTATGCCTCACCTTTGCGGAGGTATACAGCACACTCTCTTAGCAGAGTCCTTGGAGGCCCCTGGACATCTAAATGAGCATGAGGAGGGTCGGCGGAGTGGCGCAATGGTTAAGAACTGGCTTGGGACGCCAGAGGGCCCCGGTTCGGATCCCACATATGAGGGCTGGTGACGCTGCCCTCTGCAGCTAGGATGCTGAATGGCGGCTAGACCTGGAGCTGGGCTGCTGTGGGTTGCAGGCGACAGCGTAGGCTGCAGCCCCTGTGGCAGTGGGTTGTCATGGGCTACCGTGTGTATCCAGCAGCCAGCATGAGTGGCCAGCAGCCGCGGTGAGCGGCCGTCCAGAAGCCGGCGACTGATGTGCCTCGCCCGGGAAGAGCACAATGATGGTGCCAACTTGGGCCAGTGGGGCAACGTCCTCCACAACTAGACTGAAGAACAAAAACAATAGCAACTTGTCTGTTCCCCTTCTCTAATTCCCCACCGCTGTTCCCATCCCCCCAATTCCCCAATAAAAATCTTTTAAAAAAATAAAAAATAAAAAAAATAAATGAGCATGAGGAAAGGGACCAGGCATCCCCCACTCCCTGCCAGTTAGAGATGGAGGCCCTGAGAAGTTCAAGAATTTTGTGATCATTTCCCTTAAAACTCTGAATTTAGGCTGGCATCTTACCTTACTATGAAGCATCTATTTCATCTTGATGTATCAGCTGTAACTTGTCATTCAATGTCCTGAGATATTCCCTTTTGGGAAATATGAAATTTGGTACTGAAATTGAATTTGACTAAAATATAAACATATTATTTTCTACTCTTTTTTTGTTTCTCTGCATGATAGCAAACTCATCATTTCTCTTCTTAGTTAATAATTAATAATAAACTTAGTTTATTAATAATAAACTTAGTTTATTATAATAAGTTAATTATTAATATGGGCAGTTGAAGAAGTTGTTAATATGAATGTTTTCTCTTTACAATTTTTCTGTTATAATAACTGATATTTATTTGGGGATGATATTTCCCACCTCTTTTATCTTTTATTTCCCCTTCTGAAATATAAAGGAAATTATAATATTTCAAGTTAACCTATACGGGAGGTTGGACTGTGAAAGCTGCTCTCTTGTATGCCATTAATTTCAAATTTGGACTTCTCTTTACCTACTGTGTAAGTTGTCTCTCCAATAGTTAGGAATAATTTCATCTCTTCCTTAAGTAAATGATCTCTCATGTGAAACTTCATCTTAGAAAAAAAATCTTAATATTATAATCTTGCCATATAAGACTTCTCACAGAATATTCTCTTATAAATGAAAGGTAGTTTCTTTCTATCAAAGAAAACTCATATCTTATTAGCTGATGAACACTTTTTTTCTTAAAACAAGAAGAGATCTATGATGTATGGAAATTACTTACAGTTCACAGAGGGGAAAAACCAGTAACTACATCAATTTTGTATTGCTTCCTTCTGAGATACTAAAGTGTTGCAATAAGAAAGCAAGGATTTCTTATAAAGCATTACTGAGAGGCTAGGTATAAAGCGCTATAGCAGAATTAGATAGTACATAAAATTGAGTAATCTTGGCTCATTTTCTTTCTGTGGGCACATAGGAATTACCATTGAGTCAAAGCTATGATCCACTCAGCTGCATGTTTTACTAACAGCAGTAGTCCAAGGTTATTAAAAAACTGCTATGCTAGTGCTACTCATCATGTCTGAGAATTTCAGACAGAATTGTTGGGTGGGTGGAACCAGGAAGTTGAGTTCAGTGAATTATTCTGTCCCATCACATTCTGTAGGCCTTAAAGACATCCCACCTCACTTCATGTCTTTTTTAATAGGGCCATGATGGGGGTCAAGGTGAATTACTGCCATCTTTTTCATGGTATGTTTGGTGACAAGCATGACTGTGGTAATTTAGTACTGCGTCAATTCAGTTGGAACTATTATTCCCAGAATTTCCTTCCCTTCAGTAATTTCAATTTAGAGTTGGCCATTAGAGAAATGTGTATGAGATTTGGAAGGGAGAAGCAGCAGCCATTATTCTCAGAAGGTTGGTGCAGGGTCCCAGGCATTGCCCAACACATGCTTGTGTATGTCACATGCATGAGTGCATGTGTGAGTGTGTGTGTGCGCGCGCGTGCACACGTGCATGTGTGTGTTTGTGATTACTGACATCCTGGCTCATCTTGTTCACATGGAGCAGCACCCAGGCCCACAGCTTCTCTCGCTCCCATGAAACCACCTCCTTCAGCTTTTCCAGTTCTTGGGCCAGTAGCATATGTAGCAAGATGGTCACAGAAACCAACGTTTTCTGCAGGTGGTCTGCATCCTTGGGGTTTGACATAATGATTGACCAACATAGGTTCCATTTTGTCTTTGTGGAAGAAAAGTATGTCTTTGCTTTACCCAGCTGTCCAGCGTTCCTTCCTGACTCTCTGACCTGCTTACTTACAATGACTCAGACCCGCCACCATACGCAGAGGCAACAACTTCCACAGGCTTCTTCACAGATCCCTTTGTGGTCCCTCATTATTGTTGGCTTTTCTCTAATCCTCTAACTATTCACATTCAGACCTTTATTTCCCCAGCTGCTCTCACAATTGTGTAAGTTCAAATACCTGTAATAAATCCCTTATTCCATTGTATTCATAGTGTTCTGTTTCCCTGATTGAACCCTATCTGATATAATGACTATGTGTAGAAAGGATTACAAGAGTTACCCTTAGTTATGCCTCATTTGGAGCACTCAGAAAACCCAAGATAAAAGATGTTCCTTGGACATGTCAAAGAAAGATAAGACGTGTGCTTAGCCTGGCAGGAGAGGCAGGGAAGAGTAAGGCAGAGTTTACGCCAAGGAATGCCAAAGAATCTTAAATATTGCAAGGAAATTATAAGGGAATCCAGAAGCCTACCATATACACATTTATATTCTCAGTGAAGTAACATTTGAAAGACACCTAACTCTCAAAATGTGTTCTTTTCTTTACATATATTTAAAATTCTTTAATAACAATTCAATCTGCATGCTCTTCTCTGCTTTCAAATAATCATAATCACCATGCTTTCTGTAATTGTCCCCATCAGGAAGCTGGCCCATCATTACGGACCCTCAAACTTTCCTTTGGCATCTCCTCCCTTAAGTTCTCCGTGGTGTTGCTTGGCCCACAGTAATCCCCAATTAGTCATACTTTATTTTTATTGGCTGTGTTTTTGATGATGTCCAATCCATTTTGGGCCTCCTAAGTGGTACAGATAACCTCCCCAAAAACTAGATGTAGGGGGCTGAATGTGTTATGTTATTCTAGCTAAAAATTGACACTAAGTTATTAAATAAGGTATTAAAAACGTATTTCCTCTAATTTCAAAAGGACTAAAGCATCAAGTTGTCCTCTATCTCTGTACCCAACAGAATTTAGAGGAACCCAGTAATCAAAGTCTACACAACAGTTTCAGAAAGTTTCTGTATATCCATTAATTTCAGAATTCACAGGTGGGTCTAGATCCCAATCACCCCTAACAAAATCCTCCAAGATAAAGCACACTATTCTGATCAGTGTCATAGAGATAAGTTTATTAATGAATTGTGTAAGGAAGTCATAATTACTAATTTTTGAACATTCACCTACACTTACTAGAAAGGATTCTTTCTTTCTGGCCCCTTCGGGCTATCATTTGGTCTCCAAACTTCAAGTATGAGTCTAAACAAATAAAATAAAACAAATGAAACAACAAGCTATGTGGAGATACATAATAAAAAGCTACAGGAGAAAAAAAGAGAGCAGGTAGAGAAAAAAGGCATATCGGGAAACAGTCAAGGAAGTTTTGGGGGCCAGAGAGCTCAGAGTGGAGAAGAATTCATTTCTGGGAATAGCTATGGTGTTGGAGAATACTAAGAGGAATGATGATGGTCTGAGAAGATTTTAAAGATGTGCTATTTATTAAGAAATCCCTCTTCCTTCTCCCTTTGGCATTTCCTGTCAGAGAGAAGGTCTTTAATACTATAAATTACTTTTTTTGGTCACTGATTGTGTATCTAGTCTGGGTCACATGGAGTACAGATGACCTAATCTGACCAGAATAAAGGCTGTATTCAAGTATGTTAGATTTCCTTTAGACTTGGCAGAACAGTTCTTCTTTATGCCTGGCATATTTTCTGTTGCTGGACCTTGTTGTTGAGTATTTTGCATTCTTCCTTTTCTCTGTGGTTCCTGGTGTACAGTCTTCTCTTGCTCCTGCAGCATGGACTGACACAGAGGGTGTGCAAAGGTGTGCAAAGGGGGCTGCATCCCTCAGAGTACAGAGCTTCACTTCCCCGAATCCTGATTGGCCCATTCTATTTTCAACCCTTACAGTCCCAAAGACATTCAGCAGCAAAGTATGGCTCTAGAAGATTGTTTTATTCCTATACAATATTTGTATTTTCTTAGACAGTTCCTCAGATAATCCCATCTACTTTTCATTAGCTCTCTCCTTTTTAATGCAAATACTACTTACGTTTAAACTACTTTTCGTAAATGAGCCGTTTACTGCCCTAAATTTTGTACCTCATCATGCTGATAATCCAGATCTCCATTCTTCATTAAATATGGGCATAAAGATTTACTTGATTCATATTGAACCTAACATTGAGATGAATTTTCCAGTAGAAAGAACATTTCCTGATTGTGGTAAATTTGGAGATGGAGCACCAAAATCGCTCTCCAAGGCGGGACTTGTTGGCTCACCTGCTGGGAGTGGTGTCAACAAACAGCCTTTAGCTATAAGGCCCCTTCAAGGATTGTCTCAAATGCAAGAAGCCATTTTGCCCAAGGTCACACCCTTCCAGGGTTGGTCCTCCAGTGACCAACAGAGGAGAGGATGTTAAGGACTGACAAATTTGACGTAATATGACAAACTCTGATGGACCATTTCAGCTTCAGCACTCCCTGTGAAGTTTGCTGAGTACTTCATTGGGGATGAATCACAGCTCAGCTTCTCTCTGTCCAATCCTGCTTCCTTCCCCTCTATTCTGCAGGTATTGATCCCAAGACACTCCCTGATAAACATCCTGTCCTCAAAATGCTATCACAGAATCTGCTTCCTGGAGAAGCCAGCCTGTGGCAATGATCTTTAAAACTCAAAAAACATTCAGTAGTTGAAAAAAAAAATAAGGCCTAAAGCTTTCTCCAAAATTTAGAAATTATTGCTAACTTCTGAGCACAACTAGAGGTTAAAAGACTACTAATGCATATCTTTGCTTTCAAAACATCTACTTGCTTACTTTTACATTATCCTGANTGGAACTCTGTTTGACATTTTGAAAAATGGAAGTGTCTCAACATCTACCTTTTAAAACGTAGGCCTGTAGGAATAAAATTATAATGCCATAAAACAGCAATGAATGTAGTAATAGAATATCAAGCTCTTAACTCCATGATGTCTTTAAAAACTGTACATAGACTCTAAAAGTAACTATAAAACTACAAAATAACTTAAGTGCTGAAACATTCACAAGTAAGACAAGTATATCCTATGGATAACTTCGACTAGTTTATACAATGAAATTATTATCTTGTGCCTCTGTGGTATCTATGGCTTACTTTTGTATATACTTTTTGTTCATTTTGCACATCTTGGCGTGCTTGGGTTTCAATTATCTCGCTTTGCAGAGAAGCAACCATCTTCCCAATATTTTCTGATGCTGCTGTAATAGCTTCCAAAATATGTTTATCTGTAGCGATTGGTCTTAAGCTTTCTAATTTTATTTCTTCATATATTTCATTCCATATTTCTCCAATCTGTTATAACAAAGTTTAAGTTTAAAAAAGTTAAATGAACCAAAAATAAACGACTCAGTTGTAACTAATGCTTTATTTGGATTGTTGTTCCAAAGTTAACACTGACCAGCTTTTCCTAACTTACTCCTTAAGAATAGGTTAAGTGCATTGGGAATGATTTGGATACCAGTTCCATTTGAGTATTCCGAGGTAATTTACCAAATGTTTTTCCATGACAAGGTAGTCATGGATGAGGCTCCATTACCTAAGTCTAGTTCACTGCCATCATCACTTTCCTCTGGTTTATAGTGAGCCTGTTTTCACAGCTGCAGAAACTGCTGCTTTCGTCTCATCCTCCTGAACTACTGATGCTTTATTTCTTAAAGCTCTGTATTAAAGGCTAGGTCAAGCTCAGTTTACATGACAATGAACATGGGAATTCCTGGGACCCTAGATAGAACTCAGCCACCCAGAGGAAT